GGCGCTTTGGCTGCGCTCCTTTCAGGACGTGCGGAAAGGAGCTCGGGGGGACCCGTGGTGTTTGAGGTCAAAACATCAAATGGAGGAAGGTAGTCGCTGCCACGCCAGGATCAGTGGAACGCTAGATGAAAGTCGCTACATCAAAAACATGCTTCAAGCAGTGTAATATCCCTTGATGTATTCTCTAGAGATAATTTAAAGAGGCGATGCAGCCTATTTGAGGATTTGTATGCCATATGCTCGCCTTTCGCTGCTGAGGAAACAGTATGCATTTATACAGTTCTAATATAAAATATGTTAATTTTTTTGACGGTGACGCTGATGGGCTGTGAGGGAGTTGGAGAGTGGCCCAAGCACTCGCGTGGCCAAACTGCCTCTGCTCAGCTCCCGCTGCTGCCCCGGGCTGCTGGGCGGCAGGGCTGCCGGGGGGGTCCGGCGGGTGCCCATCGCAGAGACCCTCCGGCCCATCCAACCCTCCTGCCAGAGCAGGGTCACCTACAGCACGTTACACAGGACAGCGTCCAGGCGGGTTTTGAATGTCTCCAGAGTGGGAGACTCCACCACCTCTCTGGGCAGCCTGTTCCAGTGCTCCACTACCCTCAAAGTAAAGAAGTTCCTTCTCATGTTAAGATGGAACTTCCTATGTTCAAGTTTATGCCCATTACCCCTCGTCCTATCACTGGGCGCCACTGAAAAAAGACTGCTCCCATCCCCCTGGCATCCTCCCATTAAGTATTTGTATGTATTAATAAGATCCCCCCTCAATCTTCTTTTCTCTAGACTAAAGAGACCCAAGTCCCTCAGCCTTTCCTCATAAGAAAGGTGCTCCAGTCCCCTAATCATCTTTGTTGCCCTTTGCTGGACCCTCTCGAGCAGTTCCCTGTCTTTCTTGAACTGGGGAGCCCAGAACTGGACACAGTACTCCAGATGCGGTCTCACCAGGGCAGAGTAGAGGGGGAGGATGACCTCCCTCGACCTGCTGGCCACACTCTTCTTGATGCACCCCAGGATGCCATTCGCCTTCTTGGCCGCCAGGGCACATTGCTGGCTCATGGTCATCCTGTTGTCCACCAGGACTCCCAGGTCCCTCTCCACAGAGCTGCTCTCCAGGAGGTCAGCCCCCAGACCTTGCGGACTGCCATTTCATTGCCGACATTAGTATTAAGCTCCCCGCTCCGATCCTGGCGAGGTCTGTCCCCACTGCATTCACCTGCTTTGTACGGTGCAATAACTATTGCCAGAATTAATTTTCTGCAGACATGTCCCCCGGCAGCGGACACCTCGAGCACGCCGGAGCAGTTTGAAGCGGTCCATTGCTGCCACAAGGCAGAATTTAAGAGCGGTCGGGCAGTGGAGGGCAGGGACCTGCGGGGAGGTGATGGGTGGGACCCCGCGCGCGGCCGGCTGAGACCCTGTGCCCCACCGCAGCGCCCATCAGAAAAGTCATCCCTCTGTGCTGCTTACAGGTCTTTGGTCCAAATAACCCAGCTCTGATCATAGATGAATGGCAGCAAATCGGGAGTTACGGCTAGTATCGTAGTTCTGAGCTGAAATACGCTGGATTTATAATAAAAGGGCAGGTATGCAGGCTTGGGGATTAATAAAAATAACTTACTGGGTTGAGCGTGGCCATTGTGAGAGTCAGTTTGTACCTCGACTTGGCCATAGTGTGACAATCTGCCTTCATCCCGGGGGTCACGCAGAGGCGAATTGCAAATCCTGATGCCGTAGCTGTGTTTGGCTTCGGCTAATCCAAGATGGAAATATTAGAGAGGAGGCTATATGAAATGCAAACAAACAGCCGATGAGACTGGTAAGGTAATAAAAATGAGATCAGCGAAACGAGCTCTTCCTTATTAAGATTCCTTTGTCTTACACAAGCACCCAGTAATGAAAAATGAATCTTCCTAGCACTCGCTTCTCAGCACTACATATGGGATATTTCCTGAACAAACAGCTGCCAAAAGCCAGAGGAAAGCATAGAAGGCTGTTATCGTCAGTGTAGTGCACAGGAATGAGAGATTTGATTAACATTTTCTTTAATTCTCTGCTATTTAAGTGCTTGTACAAAATGTTGGCCAGCAGGGCTAAGCCTCAATAAATACGACACGTTGCAGAGTTGGAATAAACGATTAGGATTTTTTCTTAGGAAGCCAATTCAAAACTTCATGTATTTATTCCGCCCCTCGCCGGGCCGGTCGGGGTTGCATCGCGCCTGAGGGGCTGATCCGGAGGTGCAGGAGGGGACGGACCTGCAGCGCAGGGCTCTGCCTCTCGGCTCCTGCATCCCGTGGCACCGCGGCATCCGCAGCCCCGGCGTCACCCCGGCATCCTTTCCCCTTCTGCTTCGGTCCGTGAGAGCCGGAGCCCGGGTCCCAAGGCTGGCGGGGATCCGACACATCTATTTTTAAACATTGTTGTGTCAAAAGCAAATCATAGAATCACAGAATCACAGAATTGCTGAGGTTTTTTTCTGATGATCTTTAAGATCACCAAGTCCAACCATTAACCTGCCCTGACAAAACCACCTCTAAGCCATGTCCCCAAGTACCACATCTGCCCTTTTTTTAAACACGTCCAGGGTGTTTATCAGTATATGGGAAACTGGGAGCTCCTCCGTAGGTGACGGTGTGACAGGAAAATCCTCTTCTGACAGAAATTAGGGCAATCTCTTTTTTCTCCCTGATGTGGAGTTGTCTTGGCTTTATTTATGAGCTACCAGGAAAAGCATCCGAGCCGCACTTCCATCCCTGGTCATGTGTTGCAATGCATGCGTGGATTTTATTGTATGAATTATTTCAACTAGCATAATTGTAATCATGTTAATTGCTATGTAATCTTCACTAATTATTGTTGTATGTCATTTGCTTTGGTGTGAACGGCATATTGCAGAACTCCGTTTGGCGCACAGATGCCTTCCAAGCTCTGCATCAGGCCCCGCTTCTGCCTTCGGCTGGGGAAAACCCTCCCCGACGCCGCGGCAGGGAGCGGGGCTGCGCTGGGCGGCTGTAGCGCGCTCGCCGCCCTGACTTCTGCAGCATCACCCGCCGCCGGGGCTGCCGCCGGCTCCTCGGGTTATTGTGACCCTTGGGAGTTACAGGCGGCACTTAGCCAGGGATTTGTGGATGAGCAGAGGATGCTGCAAGATGGGACGGGACCGTCTCATGCGCCCGCCCTGCCTTGTGGGGAGGTTTCGGTACAGCCGAGAGGAGATCAGCCCTGGGGTGGGTGTTTTGGTCGCCATCAGGGTGGTGTTAAAGGGACAAATGGTGAGGATGGGGCACTGGTAGAGTAGCGTGGGGTCCAGCCGCGCTGGCATGGCTTGAGCGGCGCTGGGGGACGGCAGCCCAGGCTCCCCGGCTGTGCCAGCCCCGGCGGGACGCGGCGGCACCGGCACCATCCTCTGGGCTTGTTCCGTCAGAAACCTGCTGCACGGGAGAAATTTGCCTTGTGGGCCTCAGGCTCCTTTTGCAGAAAGTAATTAATTGCAACGGAGGTGTGATTTTGGTGCAGCCGTGATGCGGGAGCGGGGGATGCCGCCCTCACAGGCGCTGGGGCCGGGGCTGGGGCCGGGGTGGGCAGCACGGAGCCCCCACAGGGAGGGGTCTCTGGAGGTGGGCAAAGCGGATTTTGGCTTCCTAGGAGGGGAAGCGATGGCGGGTTTTGCTGGAAGGACCCGAGCATTTTAGATGCTGGAAAGCAGGAGGAAAAGCATCAAAAGCGGAGAAACCCCGGCAGTGTTTCCCCACCGCGCGGTGCCTTTTTGCTGCTGGTGTAAGCCCCGAGGAGCATTTGCATTTTCGTTTAAAACCCAATCAGACACCAGACCCCGCATGCGCTCGCCAGGCAGCTGAACCCAGGAGTTAACACGCCACGACCCCGGCACCGACATGCCGGCGCCGGCACCGCGCGCGCGGACCGGGGGCTGATGAGCCGTGTCCGGAGAGATACAGCTTCCCTGGGAAAACCAGCCCTTTCCCTGCCGTGTGCCGTTGGGTTTTGCTTAATGAACACGGCTAATAGGAACTGTTGGGAGAGACAAGGATGGACGGGGCAGTGCTGGGCTTCAGCTCTTCTGCTGAAAGCCGGGGCATAGCGAGCACGGGCAGGAGATGCTCTGTGACACAGAGGTCCCTGCTGGGACCCCAGGGGCTGCGGGCGCTCGGCGGCCGGGCTCCGACTAGCCGTGGGAGCCGCAGGAGCAATCCCATGTTTGTGGCTTTCACTCCATTTCAGGCTCTAAAGATTTTCATTGAAATAGTAACTGTCCGTCGTGCCGAGCAGGACAATAAATAGCAGCGTGTAAACCGTCCCTGTTCACAGTCCATTAGTGTTTCTTACCTCTCCAGCTCACTTTTATCTCAGTCTTAAAAACTAAGGAAAAATATTGAAGCTGGCTGGTTAATTTATGAAAGCCGGTTGTGCAGCGGTTTACAATATTATTTGGAAACGTAGAGAGTGATTGGAGCAATTTCCGTACAAATTCTCATGGAAGGGATTACAGCAGCTATTTAGGTAAGATGCAATTTAGGCTCCTAAAACCCGGCATTATCGAAATGTCAGAAACTATTAATCAGCGGCGAGGCCTCGGTGACGGCGGGTACAGTGGTGCGGGGTAGCCCTGGAGGTTGCTGCGTTCCGGGGAGATTAAATCGCTGGTTAATTCATTTTGCATTGGATAATCCAATGCTTTGGGCCCGTTTGATGAGGCCGGGGACCCGAAGCCGCTCCATTACCCCGTCGCTTCTGCAATCGCCTGCGCTTCCCAGCCACGGAGTTTGTCTTTAACCCGTCTCGGCGTGTAAATTATTTCACAGGTCAGCGGAGTGTGGTCCGAAGGGGTCCAGCGTGATGGCTGGATTAGCTGCTCTCACCCCGTTCCCATGGCAACCCCAGCATTCCCAGGGCAGGATGCTTCATTAGTGGCGATGTAAAACTTGACCAGTGCTCCCACACCTCGAAGCCTGCTGGCCTCCCAGAGATGGGTTTATGTTTGGGTTCTGCTGCTTTACTCTGCCCTTCGCTCTCTTTTCCCCTTCTCCTCTCTTTCTCAGCCAAATTCACGTCCCGGCAGCCTTCTCATTAAGGCCAGTTCCAGGTCCTTGGCTGAGTGCTGCCAGGGGTATCCGTGAGTGGGGATAATCCGGTGGCAGCTGCCAGCGCCGGGCGCAGCCTTTATCGAAACGCATCGCCCGCAGGCGCCTACGCTCCCCGTCACAGCGGCAAGCGGCTGCGCACGAGCAGCCTATAGATAGTAACCGGCTATCATTGATCTGACGCGCTGTGCCGAGGAGAGGCACGGCACGGCTCTGCAGAGCGCCTGCCTGGTTTCAGACGTGTCCCGGCAAAGAGCCCCTTTGCCTTTCCCCGTAGTGGGACAGGCAGAAAATCCAGGTTTTCAGCCCTTCAAGCTGAAAAGGTGCTTAAAGGGGGGTGGGGGCACGTAATTGTCACATTGGGAGCTTAATGCCATCAGCGACACCGAGCCCACCGGTGACTGCAGCCCCCTCCCCATCTCTGTGCACCGGCTGCACGAGGAAGGGGACACGCGTGGGGCAGAGAAGCTGTTCTGCAGCCCACGTGTGCCACCATCCAGCAGCTTGGGAGGGCCTTCCGCAGCCGAACAATCACCACGTGGGCATCCCGCGGTGCCCGAGGAGATGCTCCCAAGCTCTTGTCCTGGCGGAACGGGGGCTCAGCGCCATCGAACGCTTTGGGGAGGCACAGGCAGGGTCTGGGGGAAGGCAGGACCACCCCCTGCTCCCCCCACGCTGCCACCCCGTCCCTATCCTGCTCAGCGAGCGGCTGGTGATGGGGTGGGAATGGTGACACCGTAGCAGTCCCAGAGCAGCTCCTGCAGCCCCACGGTGAGGAGCAGGAGTGAAATCATGAGTGCCAGCTGGCCGGCAAGGCTCCTCCTGGGCATCACCTCCTGGAGGGCTGGCACCGAGTCCCCATCCTCGCCGCAGGCCTGCTGCGTGCTGCTCTGCTCTCAGCACACAGGGGCACGCCATACTATCGTTATTTTTATTGTTATTATTATTATTATTGTGGTTGTGGTTGTCATCATTACTGCCCTTTCTGCCGCTTCCCACCTGCACAAGCTGCGATCCCGGTGGCAGGAGCAACAGCTGCCTGTGCTGAGCCGGTGCCATCCCCAATTTGGCACCGCGTTTTGGCTAAACCAACGCCACAGCCGGTCCGTCAGCCTGCCGGGGGAGGGCTGCGCGTTCTGGGGATGCTGTCCTGTCGTGACGGTGACCCGTGTGGCTCCTCTTTGGCGAGCAGAGGTGGAGCCCACACCATTCCTACATCCGTACCGGTCCCCATTCGCAGCGTGACGCCCCATCCCCACACGTCGCTTCTGTCAATTGCTCTTGAACGAGCGGGTTTTTTTCCCCAAAGTGCCTTTGCTTGGCAAGATCAGTGCCGTCGGGGTGGGGAGAGTCCTCCAACCGCCCAGCAGTGCACTGCTGCCTGCTCTGCGGGCTCTGCCTCCCCTTCTTGGCCTGTCCCCCCTCCCCAAAACCCGCCTGTGCCAAAGGAAATCCCCACGGGAAAGCAGTTTGTCCCTTCGGACGTGCTGCTCGCGCTCAGCCCCGGCCAGGCGTTGTTTGGCTCTTGCAGTTCACAATCGTTCTTCCTCCCCAGGAGCCGCCCGGGTGAGATGTGCCCCAAAGTAACGTTAAGATACATTCGGGGTGCTCTGTCAGCTGCCTGCATAAGATTTTAGTGAATAATCTTTGGCTTTGACAGAAATAAAATAAATCCTACATGTTGCTATAATCTGACAGGAAAAAAAGGACATTGGGAGGTACGTGTTGGTTTGGCAGAGCTAAAGGCGGTCCTGTCACACACTCTACGCTGCGGATTTCACCGGGTTGGCTGACTTAGAGTTATTTAAGATAAAATCTTTGGGCATTGCCCAACTGCTAGGTGCAGCAGCGGGAGTTTATTCTGAGGCTACTGTGCAAACAGTGGCTTTTCGCTGCTCAGCCTTGTCCTTGCTGAATGACGGTACGGGTACTGGAGCTCACGCAGCTGAGACTAACGCCAACTCTACGCTGCGGATTTCACCGGGTTGGCTGACTTAGAGTTATTTAAGATAAAATCTTTGGGCATTGCCCAACTGCTAGGTGCAGCAGCGGGAGTTTATTCTGAGGCTACTGTGCAAACAGTGGCTTTTCGCTGCTCAGCCTTGTCCTTGCTGAATGACGGTACGGGTACTGGAGCTCACGCAGCTGAGACTAACGCCAACATCTCTTCTTCAGGGTGAGCAGAGACGCCAAGGAACCCGCAGCGAGCCGGCCGGCATCCTCCCGCAGCGCTGCCAGGTCCGTCGATGCTGCCGATCCGGGGAGGATGGCGAGTCCCACGCTCGGTGCTCGACGACGGGAATATGGAAAACCTCGGGCAGATGAAGAGGAGCTGGAGAGCCCGAAAAAGGCTGCGGATAGGATAGGAGAGACGTCCCCATCGGTGCTGCGGCGAGGGGGGTCCCCGGCCCTGGACAGGAGGTTCCCCAGCCCGCTGTCGCCGACGGTGCCGAGGAGGAGAGGGCTCTCTCCAGCGGCGGACCCGGTTCCCAGCTCGTCGGCCGCCCTCTCCGAGGTCGTGGAGGAGCTGCGGCGGCAGGGGGGGGGGGGGCGGGG